TAGTTGTACATGGTTTTATGCAGTCTGTTCAATTTGTTGGTTTTATTTCTTACATTTATTAAATAATATGGCTTGTTGTGCAGTTAATTGTACTAACAGACCGTCCAAGACGGGTCTCCATTTTTTCCGGTGAGTGATATTCTAGTACAATGTTAAACATAAATGCATGCAATGATGTCTTAAATAATTAATTATTTAGAACTTTATTTTAAAATTTACTGGATTAAATCCTTCATATTGTGAGTAATGTTAGCTGCAGGCTTAAACCAGAAGATATCTGAAACGATAACGGTAATATGCGCCTGCTTTTCAAAAATAAAGTTGGCTTAATGATTACTAATATTGTACAAACGTGATATTATATTGTACAAACGTGATATTATATTGTAGGAACGTGAAAAGTATATTGTACAAACGTGATATTATATTGTACAAACGTGATATTATATTGTAAGAACGTGAAAAGTATATTGTACAAACGTGATATTATATTGTAAGAACGTGAAAAGTATATTGTACAAACGTAAAATTATATTGTACAAACGTGATATTATATTGTACAAACGTGATATTATATTGTAAGAACGTGAAAAGTATATTGTACAAACGTGATATTATATTGTACAAACGTGATATTATATTGTAAGAACGTGAAAAGTATATTGTACAAACGTAAAATTATATTGTACAAACGTGATATTATATTGTACAAACGTGATATTATATTGTAAGAACGTGAAAAGTATATTGTACAAACGTGATATTATATTGTACAAACGTGATATTATATTGTAAGAACGTGAAAAGTATATTGTACAAACGTGATATTATATTGTAAGAACGTGAAAAGTATATTGTACAAACGTGATATTATATTGTAAGAACGTGAAAAGTATATTGTACAAACGTGATATTATATTGTAAGAACGTGAAAAGTATATTGTACAAACGTGATAAAGCTCTTTTTTTTACCTGGGTGGCAGCTCTACGCTTCCGTAGAAGATGAACAAACAATCCTACCAAAAACTTGCAAAATCAGCCGGATCAGAACTCTGCATCTCGACCTGTAGCCGCAGGAAAGGGTGTTCAGCTGCTGGACGCACCATGAGTGAGAGACTGCGCTAAAGACAGTGGATTTAATAATGTTCCTCCACAAACACACGTAGCCTAATCTTGGTGCGTAAAGGGTTTTTAAATTATAAATAAATATTAATTAAACCATATAATCATAATGTAGACAGAGTATACAGACTAATGGTGGCATTATTCTTTTATTATTCAGCTTCACCGCCGCCTTAATGCCAGATTGTGAAGAGAAGTGGAGAAACAACTTGCACAGCCTTTATCTTAATTTCGTTATTGCCAAAATACCCGTCATCATTTAGAGTTTATTTTAATTTGATTTGTTAAGCAAGATTACTTTTCATTGGTGTGTTGGATAATTTAAAGGCTAAGTGCATGTACCTAGACCAGAGCGCTGAGATGTTACGATGTTACAGCTGTAGGACTTATTTTATTTCTTTGTTCCAACTTTCAAGTGGCCTATAGTCTACGCTTGTTACGAATAAATGATGTTAAAACATATAAATGACTCATTCTTAAAAAAAATGCATTAGAGCTGTGTGCATGAGCACATTTTAATGTAGGCTGTGAACGGGTTTGGGCTGTATAAAGCTGTCAATCAAAATGTACCTGTCGGACTCGGGACCTATCGGGTATAACTGCTGTTCCGCGGGAGCCGGCCAGATTTCTTACGGTGTGGGAGTAAATTTCTGAATAAATCGCGGGAGAGATGTGTGTGTGTGTGTGTGTGTGTGTGTGTGTATTAATATTAACTAATACTTTTGTTCCAATATAAATGTTATACTCACAATACTTTAGATAATGTTAACAAGCTCAAATTAAATGGATTACTAAATGTTGAACTATTATTAATAAATACATTATTGTGTTAGTAAATAAACCCAAGTCACATTTTACTAGCATTACTTATCACATTTCAACCAGTAAACAATATCAACTGCCAACATTGAACATACAACTGTTAATTGTTGATATAAAAAAATATTTAATTTAAGAATTTTATATAAAGAATACTTTTTGATGTTAACAATTAAATAGTTGATATCAACAATTCAGTTATTTCAAACGAAAGAAATATAATGAATGCTGAATGTTGAAATCAATAAAGCATATCCTAAGAATAAGTCAAAACGGCTTGCCACAGAGAGCCATAATAATATCAACAACATTTATTATTTTAAGTTTTGTTGTGTAGTTTCAGGTTAATTTACCTCGATAGTACGCTGAGATGTTCAAATGATTCAAATGTCGCGGGTGGTGGGATGGTCTCTATGGTTTCAGCAAACAGTCATCTTAACTCCGCCTAAGATCCGCCTCTGCCCATTTTCGAGTATCCGGGAATGACGCACTTCCAAGATGGCGACGGCTGACCACGCCTACAGTAAGCTTCATTTGCGCTCTTCAGAAACCTATGGGTGACGTCACGGACACTACGTCCATATTTTTTACAGTCTATGCTTTTTTCCCAAGATTTATCAGATAATTTAAATGTGGGTCTCCAGAGTTCACAGCCACGTTTTACAACAGTGTGATATATTTTCAGCCACAGTTTAATGGGCGGGTTAAATTTATAAAGTTTTAAAAGCCCCGTGTGCCTCAGACCCAAATAACTATAAGAAGTGACTTGGTCAAGAGTTGTTCCTCTAATTTTAAAACTGTATTTTTTAGTGATTGACATCCTCAATAATTAACCCCTGGACTCAATTTGATTTAATCAATGATTTCTGAGAGGAAAGTGGCCTCTTTACACAAATTCACTTTATTTGAATGGCCATGACAAAATGTGTGCTTTTCAGCAAAAGCTGTAGTACCTTTGAATGCTTTCCTTGTTTTAGCCTAAACACCCGCCGATGACCTACTCACATCTGCAGCTCCTCCATGATGGTCGCCCAGCGTTCTCCAGCACAGTGCCTAGACTGCAATTTTGCACAAGATGTTTGGCCAGAGGGGAAATGGTCGTGCCCAACTGAGGCTGGTTTCTCTCAAGGTTTTTTTTCCTTCACTTTCATCAATTAGTAAAGTTTGTTCCTCGCTACTGTCGCCGCTTGCTTGGTTTGGGACTTGTGGAGCTGCTCATCGATGGATTTTCTCTTCAGTGTTTGAGCTCTCAGCAGTGAAAATTAAAGCACACTAAACTGATCTAAACTGAACTTCAACTCTGAAAACTGGACTGACAGTTTCAATTTACTATAATCTTCTATGTTAAGCAGCTTTGACACAATCTACATTGTAAAAGTGCTATAGAAATAAAAATTAATTAAACTGAATTTCTGTAAGAATCATGTGACGGGGAATTCATGGTTTTATGCATAGAATATTTAAATCTTGTGTTTTCACATTCGATTAGAGGAACAATCTGGAGAGAACATTAATGGTATTTACATATGACAAACATTCGGCTTGTCTCGTCTGTGTTTTCCAGGGGATTCCCTCAAATTTACAGCATAACGGAAATAACTGTCTGTCTCTGAGGAAACAGATGCTGAACTTCAGTTGTAGCACTAACAGTTTTAACAGCACTGGATTTTTTTTTTCATCTATGTTCAGGCATGACAGGCAGCTGTTTTAGCTCTTTTTGCTTTCAGATGAATGTATGTGATACTACATTTCCAGGACTCTTCGTTTGCATGATTTTGGTTTTATGTTCACAGTTTTTTTTTTTTTATCTATTTTTGTTTTGTTTTTGAAAAAAGGAGAGAAAAGTGATCGAAAACGATGTGATGAAATATTGTGATTAACTATCATAACTTAAAATATTAAATAGCTTTAAAAAGTAAATCTTCAAAGCTATTTGAATATTTTAAGATGTAATTAATTCCTGCGATTAAAGCTGTATTTTAAGCATCATTACTTGAGACTTTAGTGTCACATTTGTCAATGTGGTCAGTAGTATTTTCTTATGAATGATAATACTTCTTTTTCCGAATTCTTTGATGAATACAGTTCAAAATACTGTATTTTTTAACAAAATATTTTTGAAAATTATACATTACTGGATTGTTACTTTGGATGTTGAATAACTTTGAATTGTAGTATGTCATGATTTTCATTAATATATTGAGCAAAACTGTTTTCATTCATTCATTCATTCATTCATTCATTCATTCATTCATTCATTTTCTTTTCGGCTTAGTCCCTTTATTAATCAAGGGGTCGCCACAGAGGAGTGAACTGTCAACATATCCAGCAGTTTTACGCAGTGGATGCCCTTCAAGCCACAACCCATCACTGGGAAACACCCATACACTCTCATTCACACACATGTACTATGGATAATTTAGCTTACCCAATTCACCTATAGTGAAATCCCACGCGAACGCAGGGAGAACATGCAAACTCCACACAGAAACGCCAACTGACCCAGCTAAGGCTCAAACTAGCGACCTTCTTGCTGTGAGGCAACAGCACCTACTGCGCCACCCCTGCAGCCTTCTATTTATGTCACATTAAATCTAATAAATTCAAATGGAATATGTCCCAAAATGCACTAGAAACCATTACGTTAAGTTGTTTTTATTGTTTGAAAGGATAGTTCACCTGTAAATAAAATGCACTCAAGTGTAGGCTTATCCTCACGTGATTCCAAATCTTCATAAACATTCTACAAAATATCTTCTCCTGTGTTCAACAGATAAAAAAGAAACTGATACAGGCTTGGAACAAGTGAAGGTGAGAAAATGATGACAGAATTTTCCGTTTTTAGTGAACTGCCCCTTTAAGTTGATCGTGACGCGCGCAGCCTCGAGGAAAACAGTAGAGCTTCCGTGATGGTTTATTTTGTAATTCTGTTTACCGTAGCATATAACTTTCTGCCGTGAGACACAATAAGTGATGTAACCCTCTCCCATTCTCTTTAATGCGTGGTAAAAATAAAACAGCAATAAAAGAGAACAATGACTGAGACCTGCAGTATAGTGTTGGGGCTGCGGGTTTGGGCGTATGGCCTCCAGAGGGCGACAAAACCCCGAGTTCATCAACTCATCATCAGAGGCGGAGATGCAGAGGAAGAAGCTGTCAAAACATTGCGAGGCCGTGTGAGAGTCGGCTTTTCAACATGAATTGGTTTGGCTCCAAATTTGCACATTATTTCCAGCACCCATGTTGTTAAGGTAAGATCATTTCAATCATCATTGTTTTACGTTGAAACACATGACTTGTTCTTTTAAAGAGCTCGAAACGCTAGCTTGATACCCATCAAAACATACACAACGTCATTATTATACACATAACGCCCAAGTGATGTCATCATAACTGTAAACAAAACTAGACTTTATATTAAGCTTGATCTTTCTTTTGTATGTTTTTCTGATTTCGATCGTATGTTTATACAGCATTCGAGTAATTTTGTGTCAAATCGATAACTGTTGACTGATTATTAATTAGACGCCCACCTTACAAACAGCTGTCACGATAACAGTAACATTAAATGCATTCATTGATTCATTGATTGATTCATTCATTCACTTTCTTGTCGGCTTAGTCCCTTTTTTAATGTTGCATTCCTTCAGGTCTGGATATTGTGTATGATTTCCTATTTTGACGACACAGGAGACTATATTGTCAATATTCATAGCAGAAACAATAAATATATGACCATTTCTATTAAAAATCAGGGTTTATTTATTATTTTTTTCATTATTAAATAGGTTAATATTACCAGCAAAATTAAACTAAAAGTTGGCACAAAAGGACTATAATCATGATTTACTTTCCATTCAATAGCTGAATGATTATAGTCTCAGATCTTTTTTATACACTACATGATCATCAGATTTGTTTTATTGGATAGTACTCTTTGGTGTATTTTCTTGACAGGCAAGATTAGTAAATTATGATAGAAATTAAATTTTTTTTAATTAGGGCCGTGCAATATGATAGTATATATCATATAGACAAAATAAAAAGTCTATCTTCATATTATGGTCTATCATTAGTTTACAGTAATACTTTTTCATAATTTATATGAGCGCAATACTACACACAACTACACGGATGCAGACTGAAACATGAGTCACAGTATCATTGGAATCATGAAAGTACAATGTTTGTTACGTTTTGCATTTTATTTAGGGATATTCTTTATTTTCATGTTGGACCTGTCATCATTAGATTTAAAAAAGTGTTTATTTATTTATTCATTCATTTATTCATTCATTCATTTGCTTTTCGGCTTAGTCCTTTTATTAATCTGGGGTCGCCATGGCGGAATGAACCGCCAACTTATCCAGCATATGTTTTACGCAGTGCCCTTCCAGCCGCAACCCATCTCTGGGAAACAACACTCTCATTCACACACATACACTATGGACAATATTGAAAATGTGTTTAATATTTCATTAATATTTTTGGTGTATATTTCTAAATAGAAAACATTTCCCCTGAAGTTCTAAGTTATCAATACCAATAATTATCTCAAACTTGTACTCTTTTACTGGCAGGGTTGGGATGTATACTACTGGTCACAAAAATTAAGAAAAACACCCCCTGAACTTTGCTGTCTTTGTATTGGGGCCTTAAGCATAAAAGAAAAGTTAACTTTGTGATCAATGCATTAGGGCTTTTATGTTTCCGGGTTTTAAAATAATTGCTCTGCTTCATAATTTTCATTGACAGGAGAATGTAAACATCTGCAATGTCTCAGCCTGAGCATCTCAATGCAAGTCCCTGGGGCTTGTCTGAGTTATTGGTCCAGAAGAGGCTGCTTGGTTTTGGGGCGCTGTTGGCCTGGATGGTCTTGTTCCACCTTCTGGTCAACGTTTGGCTCCTCTGTGTTTTCACAAGCCTCTTAGTGGTCTTAGGTGGTTGGCTGGGTTCTCAGGCTGTCCTAGTCTCAGACAGTGTTGTTCATCTGGAGCGCTTTATTAAGCTGGAGGAGATCCAAGATAGTGCTGAGAGTGAACAACAATTGGAAGATGAAATCCAAAAGACAGTCGATAAAATCGTACGCGACTTTGTCACATCATGGTACAGTACTGTTTCCGATGAGCAAGAGTTTGAGGATGAGGTTCACAATGCCATGATCTCTATGGCCATGGAGCTGAAGGGTCGAGCATCAAGGGTTGACAGGAAAACTTTGTCCCAGAGGGTGCTTGATCTCTCTGGATGCCATCTTCAGGGCTTCTTGAGTGCCAGTGGAAAACAAGAGGTTGACAAAGATGGAGATCTCTGGGGGACATACAGCAAACTCTGTCCTCCTCATCCCGCTCTTCAGAGCGCTGCTGTCGAAGTAAACTATGTACGGGCCATTGTAGATCTCCTTCTACATGTTCTTGTACCTCCTCCACATTTAGAAACACGAACAGGTCGATTTGTGGTGGGCGAACTTATAACATGCAATGTTATTCTGCCTTTAATTGCAAAACTATCTGATCCAGATTGGCTAAATCTTTTAATTGTAAGCATTTTCACCCAATCCAGTGAACCTGGTTCAGAACCAGAACCAGTAGAAATTCAATCTCCACCACAGGTTGTATCTGCTCAAGAAAATGCACAGCAAGAACTTGCGGTTCCTTGCGTTCTGACCCTAAAAGTTACCCCAGACACACCCAACATAACAGAGGCCTCAACGCCAGAACTTGCGGCTTATGATGTCATTGATTCCGCAGAACTTTTTTCTCCACACAACCTGGAAGAAGATGAATCTCGGACAACCAAACCATTCCCGTTGGGTTTTAGTCCCAGGGATTACCTGCGACTAAGCAAGCCAAATCCATTCTACCAAGAAACCGACTCCGATTTGGAATCTCCTCTGACGGACTTCAAGCGGGGCTCCTTGGAATCATTGGTTCTAATTGGTACAGAGGAAACCCTTTCAGAAAGACTCACCGAATGCGTCACTCCAGTTGACCCTTTGTTAGACCTTGAGGATGACCTTCCAACTTACACCAATACAGCAGAGAAGGAGCCATCAGCAGCACATTCTGCCAGTGTCCCAGAGGAAGAGGCATCAAGTTTTTGTACTCTCCAGCCATCGGAGAAGTGCAACTCGAGTATAGACCAGCCAGGCCTGTTAAATCCTGGTGACCTGGCTTTGAATACACCCATCCAGGTCACTTCACCAGGTGGGATGGCGTCTCTGGCACCTTTCAACTTTGAGCCCCTCAGTAGTCCAGAGGGTCCGGTTATTATCCAGAACCTCCGCATCACTGGTACCATCACTGCCAAGGAACACAGAGGCACTGGATCCCATCCCTACACTCTCTACACTGTAAAGGTGAAATATGTGTCTTTTTTTCCTGAAGAGTAAAGTAAAAAAAACTTGGGTATGCCATAAAAAAAAGATGTTCGATAACTTGATGATGGTGATGTGTTTGTTGTGCAGTATGAAACAGCCATGGACTCAGAGAATCCAGAATCGTTGCAGCCTTTGGCTTATCACACTGTGAACCGACGCTACAGCGAATTCCTCAACCTTCAGACCCGTTTGGAGGAGAAACCAGAATTACGCAAAATTCTTAAAAGTAAGCCGAGCACATTTGTCCTGTCAGTCTTTCCAAAACAGTGTTTTATTGGTTGTGGTGTTTTGTATTATGTAGATGTGAAAGGGCCAAAGAAAATCTTTCCTGAACTTCCTTTTGGAAACATGGACAGTGACAAAGTGGAGGCCAGGAAAGGTCTATTAGAAACATTCCTCAGAGTAAGTTCTTTTGATTTATTCATTTTCTCCTAAATGCATTACATAACCCTGACTATGTTTAATAGTGGTATTCCATTTGATTATAGCAACTTTGTGCCATTCCTGAAACAGCCAACAGTGAAGAAATGCAAGAGTTCCTCGCTCTTAACACGGATGCAAGAATTGCGTTTGTTAAGAAACCTTTCATTGTCTCACGCATAGACAAGGTACATATGTACACACACATCAGTGCTTCCCACACATAGACTTTACTTGGGCGGGCTGCCTAGGTAGATTGACAGCCACCCAAGTATATTAGGTGACACGTTTTTATTTACTATTATTATCATCCTAAATCATCACAAAAGTAAACTTTCGTGATTGATTAAGATGTGGAAAATCCACTTTAAACATTACCGTTTCATTCTGTGCCCGCGTGTACTGTCAACACTCTCAGAGACAGTCTCACGTGCTTTGCAGACCCACAAAGTTGTGCCTTTTTGGCATTTAAAAAGTTTCCTAAAATGTCCGGGATTCTGCTTTTGCTTTCTAAAGCTGTTGTTTGTTAACTGTATGCATTTTTGCATTGCCTTTTTACCTTAGCCTAATTTCACTTGGCTTTGCAGCTAACAGCGAGAGCGAGAAAAACATAAAATACTTAATTTTTTAATGTAAATGACTCCTAAAAGCTTTACTATATACTCAAATAATATGAATTGACTGGTCTAAACTAACTGAAAAATGTATGTACACCATTAGTAATGGTTAATCAACACATTTGCCTTATTTAAGTAATCTACACGTTTTAATCCAACATTTTTAACATTTAATTTAATTTGAAATCTTTAAAAAAAGTCTGTTTTTATTGATTTTTCTGTCATTCATTTGCTGGTTATTTTATTGATTTGATGATGTTAATATATTACATGGGCTATTTTATTTACATATTTAAAATGCTTTGGCATTCAAGTTTGCTTTGAGTTTGAAAGAACGAGAGAAGCAGATTTGACCCATCAGTGGGTGCACATGGTCCTGAATAGCATAAAAGTAAGAGAAATAGTGGATGTCTTTTTTTATTCCAACAGTCTTTTTACTTTAACCCATTGAAAAGAAACAGTTTATACTAAATGACATGATTGTTAAAAATTAAATTATGTTTTGTTTGTCCCATATAGTTAACTATTCATGTGATGTGATTAAATGGTGTTTTCAATCCGGCTACCACCGCAAGTATATTTCAAACCTGTGGGAAGCACTGCACACTGTATGTTTTGCCTGAAACCCTTCACTAGAATGCCTTTATGACTTGCGTTCACTGTGGGACTTTGCAGATTGTGGTGAATGCTATAGTGGACACTCTGAAGACAGCCTTCCCTCGCTCAGAACCACAAAGCCCTACTGACGACATTGACGGAGAGCCTGATGGAAAACTGTCCACTGACAAGAAGTCCAAGTATGCTTCTGTTTTCCTGAATTGTATTAGTTTAAATTATTTCCTATATGACTAATGCACAATTTTCTGGGGTTCAATTCTAGGTCTAGAATGAGGTTCTCTAGTAAAATCGCACCTGCTCTCAGCGTGTCTGACATGAAACCCAACGTGGTTTACTGCTTTGATGAAAGCAGCACTGTAAGTAGAAGTGATCATTTCGTAATTTCAACTGAAACATGAAGGCATAAGACATAGAGTGGCTCCTACTTTTTATAAAACAGCCAATAGCGTATCATTTATAGCACAGCTGTGCCAGTCAGAATCATTAAGCTATTGTGCTCATGACAGCTACATTCCATAATAGCAATGCTGAGTATGTTATTTCTCTGTTTTAAAATACAGCATTCTGTGTAATACAATTGAGTCCGATATATTTTGTGGTCCATGCCAACTCATGCATAAGATCTACTCTGTGCAGCCATCTCTCTGGGTTGAAGCAAACCACGTGCATGCTGCTGTTGTTTTTGTGACATTTATGCAAAACCAGGCTTTCGTAGAAATTGTATTTACACTGTCTAAATCATTTATCCCTCACATATAGTACTATTAACCATGTAAAAAACTGAAAGTGTTTGTAACATTTATTTTTGAATCTCCTATATATTTGCAAGTCTTTTGGCAGACCATTGCAATAGCATCTTTCTTTAGATACTAGAGAGCATTTGATTGGTCAGATTTGATGAGAAGTTCAAGTATTAGGTAACGTAAAAAAAAGACGTAAAAAAATGTTGAACTCTCTTCTCCTCTCTGTTTTTGACATTCATGTGATTTTTTTTTTTCATTAGTGATGAGCAGAGTGAATGTGCAAAATCACTCCCTGACATTAGATGGAGCTTAATGAAAAAGAGAAATACTCCAGTATTTTAGGGGACGCTGCTCATTTTTAAATTTCTGACATTTGCTTATTGCACAGAAGTAGTCACCCTCACGCTATTCCTTGTGTATTTATATCATAAGCTGTTCCTCTTTTGCGTAACTTCTTCCACTGCAGCACAAAAACACCTGCGGTCTGATTTATAAAATTTGCTTCGAAACCTTCCTAAAAGTGAACCTACACCAGAATAAATGTTTATTTATTTGTTAATCATTAGGGCTCATATGACGATTTAAAGTGTTTAGTTTAAGTCAATATTTAAATTGAATATTTTTACAGTTTACAGACAGTTTCGAACATATTGCTGTCAAGATTATTTTTTTGATCACAACTTTTGCATGGGAGGTGTCATACTCACATTTCTGGCCCTGTTTTGTGCATACACCATGCTTATAAATGAGACCGCTTGTTAAACATTTACAGGAACAAGTTACAAGCCATGAAAGAAAATTAAATTAAATTAAACTCACCATTCTTTTGCTTGAGTGCCACCCAGTAGTTGTTTACGGAAACTACTCAAAACATGTGAAAAAAGCACCTGTCTCATTGGTTAACCAGTTTTTTTAATGTGGCGCGCAAAGCAAAGCAAAGCAAAGCAAAACAAAGCAAAGCAAAGCAAAGCAAAGCAAGGCAAAGCAAAACAAAGCAAAACAAAGCAAAGCAAAGCAAAGCAAAGCAAAGCAAAACAAAAAACAAAACAAAACAAATTAAAACAAAACAAAACAAAACAAAACAAAACAAAACAAAACAAAACAAAACAAAACAAAACAAAACAAAACAAAACAAAACAAAACAACAAAAGCCCAAGCTGTTGTTTTAAAAATGACATTTTTATGTCTGGCATTTTGTGCATTGGTGTGCCCACTTAATCCAATGGCCTTTGTTTAGACACAAGCCATTGAACATCTTTGATAAGTGAAGTTTTTTTAAACATCGTTTCGACAGGATTACATGCTTACGATTGACCATGGCTGGTCTCGCATGATATATCAATCAGATGAATCCAAACGCACATAAATAGCCTGTTTTACTAACCTTAGCCATCTTCATCTTGAAGAATCCCCCCATCCACCCCGACACCTTCCCCTCTTTTCCTGCCTAATACAGGTTAGTTCTTGAGACCTACCTGAGCTCAGACTCCCTTCTCTTTCGACTAAAGAGAAGGAAGCCTGGGCTCGAAGATCCTCTGAGCTCTCCTAGGACAGCATGCCATACACGCATTTACCTTATCAATCAGCTAAGTGTGATCTCTTGAATTGAACACATTATTGTCTCAATGTGCAAAAGCACATATTGATACTAACACTCCAAAAAAACATAAATTTGGATTTCATGGGGACTGATTCTTAATTCCACCCTGGTTGACACTGCTCACTGTGCAACTGTTATTCGTTGTTTTTGCAGGTTTTCAATGGCTTCTTGTTGAACGAGCTGGAGAGCTTCATCTCAGAGAAGGAGCGTTCTGAAGGTAAAGCTCCAGGGTTTGATGCTGATGCCGAGAAAAGTGTAGGCTCCGGACCTAAATTGGATTTGAAAACCTGTATGTGTGCCAGACCACAGCTGGAGAATGCACCTTCCTTCAGTGAATCTGGTAAATACTTTTGTGTAAGAGAAATTATTATAATTATTACAATAACACTTGAGGTTAAATCAGCGATATAATGATCTAATCACAGCTGTTCTTGTGTTAAAGTCTCATTCAAATGGATGGAGTTTCAAACATGAACTATAAATGTACGGTACAAGTCATACAAAGAGCCCCAGATTTAACCTTAGTTTGGTTTTAGTTTTTGATCAGGGGTCTGATTTCTAAAATTAGCATCTTCCTAAATATAAACATACACCAAGATTAAATAACAATGTATTTACTTAAATGATGATTATGGCTCATATGAAGATTTAAAGTGGTTCAGTTAAGTCTATAGTTACATTATATAATATACATTGACGATCAGATTTGGGGGGGGGGGGGGGGGGTAAAACTAACAATTTTATTGGTTAGTTTGTGTCATACATGCTTTAGTGATTTATGTATGTATTTTAATTACATTTAGTCTATTAATAAAACTTATTCAGGTTTTCAGTATTTTGAGGGATATTTAGTGTATCCTGACCTACGGTATCCTCTGATCAGCTACTTCAGATGTTACTGTAGGTCTGTCTATACAAACTGCATCTAACTGGACTTTACTTTCAGGTTATATGTAGATACAAACACCTATTTTAGGAGAAATCATTCTTTTAAACACTTACTATGTCTATAGGTGCTCTAGATCTGCCAGTTTCAGACTGTTAAATTAATTTATTCTCGCAAAGCCTAGTTGGCTCGATTATGTATTCACAGTGGGATGAACCATTATGGGGTGGTCAAATGTATATTTATATCTGTAATTTTAATTATCAACATTATTAATTAAAATACATATCAGAGGGGAATATTTCTTGGTATTAAGAGCTGACCCCCCCATACATCTTGTTTTGATGTCCTTCAGGGGGATCAAGCATTAATTAGGGGGGTCATTCCACCCAACTGTAATTCGCACCCGGCACATTTCCATCCCTGTTTTGTTCGTATGCCACATTCAGAAACGAGACCCCATAACATTCTTTAAAAAGTTCTATTTTTATTCTTCATTTTTTAGAAGAACAAAATCAAGTCATTTACAGATTTGGAATGATCTGAATGTTCTAAAAGGGTGACTTTTCTTTTTATTGTAATGTGTCTACTAAAGTTAAATTTTATTTTAGAGGAATAATCTGATGAACTGCTTTACATTTCAATCTTTCCCAAGGCAAAGTTTGTCTTGAAGTTTTTATTTAGTTAACTAATTCACCACAGTTCATTTTGTGAATCCAGACGTCTCAACAGCTGAATGCTTTCCAGTAAAAACAATAGAGAAGAACGTTTAATATTTTGATTTAACATTTATAGTTAGACTTTTAAAATGTTATTATACTTTTAATATTTATTTGATTATATAATATATTTGAATACTCCACTCCCTTGCTAAAGAACCACTTCTTTGAGCACAATAAAAAAGTAAAAGTGATCATCTTATCATATTATATCATATTATACTGGTTAACTCTAGAGGGCAGCATTGCATTTTCATAATGTTGTTGTCACTTGCTTTGACGAAAACCAGCTCTCGAATCTGTTTTATCCAAAAAATCAAGTCATTTCATGTTCCACATTATAAAAACATGTTAGTTATTTAATCTGAGCGTGTTCATATTTTATATTTTAATTGTATTTGTGGACATGGAACATGCTGTTCTCTCAATTTGGCTATTCTGGGAGTTATTTTGCAAACATGTTTTCTTTTTTGACCAACACCTGTAATCGTAATTTCCAGCTGTGATCTCATGTCTTTCTGTCGCCTGTACCTGTGTTGTGCACAGCTGAGGAGACGGCTCTATCTAACCAGACTCTGAATATCCTGTGCATGCTAATGAAGAATCAGTGGAGCTGGCTTTGCACAGAAAACATCCAGAAGACCATCAGAATGCTGTTTGGGACCCTCCTAGAAAGGTGCGTTCACCTCCAGTGATGGAAGTAGTTCTTATTCACTGTAGTCCCTTAAGCATTTCGGCAGTGGTGTTTGAAGTAAACTGTTGTCCATTTTTATATGTAAAATAGATTTTAGCAGTTATTAGCGCACAGGCTCAACACGTTCATTTGTCTATCATTGTCCAACACAGCTGCTGTCTCTTGTGTAGAAAGAAATGTGTTTTTCCAACAGAGATCTGGACTATATCTTATTTAGGGGTGGTTAAATTTTAAGGTTTAAAATATGATCTATTTTAAAGAAGCATTTTTATGTTTGCTAACATATTTAAAAAGATAGTCAACATAAGGCAGCATTAGTGGTATAACATTAGGTCAAATATTTAAAAACTGAGTTTAATTTTTGATTTTGATGAAAGAGAACTGTTAGTGTTTAAGAGCCCCTATTATGGGATTTTGAAAATGACTTTCCATGCGGTGTGTAACACAGCACTAAATAAATGAAAACATCCAGCTGAGGTTTAAATCTGACAGTACACCAAGTTTAAAACCATGGATTCTTTAATGAAATAGTCGACTTGGAGTCGAATAAATGAATCAAGTTGGGTTCGGATCTTTTGCTTAAACGTTCAATTGTGTTTAATTGTGTGTTATAAGTTGTAATCGCACTGCGCGGCTTGTAATCTGTTATAGATCAGTGCTTGTTCTGGTTAAACCTTCATGTAGTTATTTACATATTGTGTCCAAAACCATACTAAAAATGTGACGCGTGCTTCTTTTACTGATTTTAATGGGTTTCTGAACTCGTGATCCATTTGTCTTTGTCAGCTGTTCCTACACGCGCGGCGTGGACAATTTTGAAAATAGTTTAACTTTTGCCATTGTGTGGATTAATACTGAATGTGTGTCATTGATATAACTTGGGTTAAGAGTAGAGTAATATGCTGGTGTTTAACTGCATTGCTTGAATGCACTCCTGCATTGAACTCTCACATGCTCTGTGTGCTATTCATAGCCGCGGTGGGCGTTTCTCTCTTGCGCTGAATGCAATCAACCAATCAACAAATTATTCGCTCAAATAATTAGGTAAAAAAATGCATATTATAAGACCATGAACGTGCTTTTTGACCTTGCATGCACATCAGTCTGTTGTTGGAGCCCCTCAAAACCTAAATATGACATTTTTTAATGCATAATAGGGGCTCTTTAACTCTGTGTCCCTCTGTGACAGGCAAATGGACAAGCATACTTAAGCTTAGGCTTAAGCACACAAAAATGTCCATTTTTGCAAGCATACAATATGAACTTGCCTAAATACAATGTTACTCAGTTATGTCTTAAGTAAACAAAAACACCTGGTAAATATGTATAGAATGTGTCAGTATGTTAGCTTTGGTATTTGGTTGAAAAACCTAATATGCTTGTTGCTATTTTCTTTTTTGGTGACTGATCCTTTAAGTCAGTGTTTCTCAAGCACGTTCCTGGAGGACCACCAGGTCTGCACATTTTCCATGTCTCCTTAAAAAAACCCCACCTGATTTGCATCATCGGCTCATTAGCAGACTATACCTGTAGTGGGTGTGACAAACAAAGGAAACATCCAAAACATGCAGTGTTGGTGTTCCTCCAGGAACATGGTTGAGAAACACTGCATTAAGTCAATCTTGTGTTTTTAAAATGTGCAAAATCAGTCCATAGGTTTGCTATCTATAGTGCATCACAATTTAATAATATTGCAAGTCAGATCATGGAGTATAATTGTGTATTGTTAGATACTACTTTTTTTTTTCGGGAAGATCGCCAGGCCCTGACCACATTTTTAAATTTGACATAAATAATTGTGTGAAGTGGAAAAATAGGACTTTTCTTGAATTTTTCTAGTGTGACTAGTACAGATTTATTGGGTGAAATTGTGTCTGCATTAAAGATCTTGATAAATGCAGCATTTGTATCAACTGGGGCAGGATTTGCGACACTTATGTCATGACAATTGGCTTAAGCAAAGCGTTTCATGAAACCTTTCACTCCAGAAAAACTGCATTTAAGTGTGCTTGAGGTTAGTGGAAGTTTGACCTCTTGAGTTTAAAGAAAAAAAAACTGTAGGTGTGCTTAGTTTAAAACTGTAGGTTTGCAGAGTTAATTACGTTGTTTCAGACTGTCATTATTTGTTTTGTTGATATGTATTAAAAAAATGCTGTGGAGTTTTTTAAAAAAATTCAGTTTAAAAGTTTAATCTGATTGTGACTTTAGTTTATAATAATATTGGAATTAAATACAAGGCTACGACACATATTATAGGCTACATTTTATTAATCTAGGAGCATTACGATGAGATTCCTTAAGCACCAAATTAGCAAAGGAGTATGATTTAGTGTAAAAACTGAAGACTGGAGTAATGATGCTGAAAATTCAGTTTTAACAACAGAGGATTAAATTGCATTGTAATATATATTAAAAAAGAAAACTTTACATTTTAATAATTGTTACATTATTAACCTTACATGAAATTTTTTTTAATCTCACCATTTCCAAAATTTTAAACTGTTAGTAAAACAGCAAGCATTATTCCACAATAAATGTTCCAATCCATAGCATCCCACGATGTACAGTGCATCCGCAAAGTATTTATAGTGCTTCACTTTTCCACTTTTATTTATGCTACAGCCTTATTCCAAAATGGATTAAATTAATTAGTTTCCTCAAAATTCAACACACAACACCTCATAATGACAATGTAAAAAAAAGATTTTTTGAAATTATTGCAAGGTTATTACAAATAAAAAAACCTGACAGATCACATGTGCATAAGTATTCACAGCCTTTGCCGTGAATTTGCCTAAGCTCCAGCATTTTTTTTGTGTAAAGAAGAGAACCTTACAGAAGTACAACCAGTTATCCACCAATCAGGCCTGTATGGTAGAGTGGCCAGACAGAAGCCACTCCCTGCCTGCAATTTGCCAAATGGCATCTAAAGGACTGTCAGATCATAAGAAACAAAATTTTCTTGTCTGATGAGACTAAAATTGAACTCTTTGGAGTAAATGCCGGGCGTTACGTTTGGAGAAAACCAGGCATTGTTCATCACCAGGCTAATGCTATCCCTACAGTGAAGCATGGTGGTGGCAGCTTCATGCTGTGGGGATGTTTTTTAGCAAGAAGAACTGGAACACTAGTCAGGATAGAGGGAAAGATGAATGCAGCAATTTACAGAGACATCCTGAATGAAAACCTGCTTCAGAGTGCTCTTGACTTCGTACTGGGGCGACAGTTCATCTTCCAGCAGGACATTGAACCCAAGCACACCCCCAAAATATTACTGAAGTGGCTTCACAACAACTCAGTGAATGTCCATGAGTGGTCCAGCCAGAGCCCAGTCCTAAATCCTATTGAACATCATTGGAGAGATCTGAAAATGGCTTGGTAAATAAGATGTGTACCAAGCTTGTGGCATCATATTCAAAAAGACTTGGGGCTGTAATTGCTGCCAAAGGTGCATCAACAAAGTATTGAACAAAGGTTGTGAATACTTATGCAGGTTTTTTATTTGTAATAAGTTTGCAGCAATTTCAAAACCTCTTTTTTCACATTGTAATTATGGGGTATTGTGTGAAGAATTTTGAGGAAATAAATTAATTTAATCCATTTTAGAAGAAGCCTGTAACATAAAAAAATAAGGGAAAAGTAAAGCGCTTTGAATACTTTCTGGATGCACTGCAAGTATCTTCTTATCTTGGGAATAAATATAATTCTCTTGCCACCTAGTTTAATGTAAAAATGCCTTCACCCCTTGCATTCTGATCAGTTTATCAGAGAATATTTTTAATGCAGTAATTCCATAAAGTATTCTTTGCAATGTTCTTTGCTGTACATTGCAAATTTTGTTTAACGCAGTAAGTCATCTGGTTGTTTTATGCAGAATATATGTATACACATACTGTACATACTATACACTGCAGTGATAGTGTGATAGTAAGTTATTCAAAACAAGGACAGTGAGGCTCTAAAGACAGACACAGTGGACAGATGGATTGACTCAATGAGGTGTCACCTGAAGGCATCACTCATTCCCTCCCCAAGCTGCTGTACAATTGTGTGATCATCCTTATTTTTACCCATGGATATAAATACATTATTAAACACGTTGTGCAGTGGGGACCGATGACAACTTGATGTAAGAAGTGAGAACTGTGTGTTTTAAAGCTGTCAACAGGTGGCTTTCACCCCATCCACTGCTCCACTTATCTTGGAGTTGGTAACAGTCACGGGACGTCCCACTGAGGCACCTTTGGTTTCAACTCACTGTTGAAGCTTTCTGTTCTGCTTTAATTAAAGTACTTGGTGTTTCTGCTACTCTGTTTAGCGATGACCGCATGTCTGTGAAATGCAGATTTATCCACTGGCACAGTAATGTCTTACTAATGTAGAGAGGTCACAGAACCTTGTGCTATAAAGGAGAGTTTTCTTTTTTTTTGGTTTCTTTGAAATCATCCCATCCGTCCTCGAGGATTCAAGCTGAAAGGTCAGGCCTCACATTAAATAGCACACGCAAGCTTCACACTCATCTGTTTTGCAGATCCTCGTGGTGTGATGTCTAGCCATTTTAAATGAGTCGTTTGTGCAGCGGTGTATTAAACACCTGCTAGCAGACTGGCTTCCTGCCATGTTTAGCTGATGGCTAACAGCCATCGGACGGGAACACTTGGGGTGAGGCCCATGCATTTCCTAAATTGTTGGACTGAGACAGTGTCTCAAAGGTGTGTCTTTTGTAAGTTCAATCTGATCAGTCCAGCGGTTATTTGTTCTCCATTTAAAATGCTCACTGAAATCTCTTTCGCATAGTGTTGTGTAGAACACATTCTGCTTAAAACCAGAGGTAACATGGTAATTTAATTAAAGTAATGGATCAAGTAGATACAGGTGGTTGTTTTTGCAGAATACAAGCCAACAGTTGTATATGACTGAAGGGCTTATTCTGTGAAAACAACCGCCTGGATAAACTTTATCCTGCTTATTACATGGCTACT